GAATCCGAGAAACAAAAGCATCTTTACAAAAAAAAAAAAAAAACCCCACAAAGCACAAAGGTGGGCTTTAAGGAAATATTATATACAACACTCCATTTCCATTTTTTTATTTATTTATTGCCAGATAGTATCAATATGTAACATTTATCACCCCATATAAGCACAATTATACAGTTTGTGGAAATTTTTTTTCCATATGATGGAAATCTATGCACCAATTGTGTGAAAATATATCGAACAATAAACGGAATAAGCATCTGTCTAAAGTTTGACCCAAAGTCAGAGATCCCAAACTGGTCCATGATGAACATTAATTTGCCGTGATATATCACAAGAGAAGGGGAAAATAGGGAAAATGTTTCCTTTTGTTTTAACACATTTAGTTTTATATAATGGCGTAGTGGGATTATAAGTGAATTTGATTTTTGTAAATTTTAATCAAATAAAATTGGATAACACGCAACATTTACTTTAGGCCCATGGCCCACAGTCAAGTTTGATTTTTGGGCTCTTGTGTCATGGACAGGTCAATATCTGCTAATTTAACTTTCTCGTTTAATAACAATAATTCTGTGTAGCACAAAATGTTGATTTTTTTTTTTTTTCTTTTCTTTTTTTTTTTTCTTTTTGTCGAGAGCTCCATCTAAAATCTTTTGGTTTCTGCTATGTACAGTATCTGCAGGGAATGATGGTGTACATTGCCTCTGGGAATAGACTTGGCTTCTATCTCTTTCCTACAGGCTCTGACGTGAGAAACACTGTCTCAGCTGCATTCCTCTGATTTCTCATATTATTGGACAGCAGTAGATCTCTGAGCCAACAGAAGAAACAGATGGTAAAAAATGAGAATGGAGGATGGGATTACAAAGTTACATTATTCTCAGTTTTTGCTGCAAGATATCATCATAACAAAAGAAAAACAGACTAAATACTAAAATGAGTATTCCCTAAAAACAGAAATCTTGTTCATTTATCTTCTGCTAAAGCCTGTATAGAACAATTCCTTTTGTTTAGTCTTACATTCCTGTGGTATTAACACAACAAACCAGAGCTTTTATAAGATGAGCCAGGGGACAAGTCTACATACATTTCTGCTCTTTGGCAGATACAGTGTAACATAACATTTCCATATGCTTCTGTGTTTCTTGCACTCATTATAAATACTATTATACTAATAATATTTATTATATGCTTAATATTAAATGTATGTGCTGCCATTGAATACTTTATATAACAGACAGAGTATCGTGATATAATAAAAAGTAATGCTTTTAAAGCAGCAGCTGATAAAGCTTCTTCAGATTTAATGAACAATGTTCTCTTGTCGTCAAATCTGCAGACGTATGCTTGTAGCTGTAGGCAGACTTTCTGTTTGGTTAGTATTGTGGCGCTGTGGTTTGGATCATGTTCCTCATGGTGAGTTTACCTGCCATGCTATGCCGCAGTGATGAATGATACCTCCAGGGAGTCTGCAGTCACCTGTTTGTTTATTGATGTAAATGGAGCTGGGTACTAAACAGGCCAAATGAAACAGTCAATGTTTTAGTACAGGAAAGGACCAACTAATGTGAAAAGGCCATTAAGGTTGACAAATGTGTTGGCAGAAAACAAACAAACAATCTATTCTAATGAATATATCCAATATGTAAATGAGTTGTGTGGGTTTAGATTAATGTAATAACAAAGCAATCAAATAATTCCTATTATTTAGCTGGTAACACTTTAGGGACCAATGCTCACTATTATCTAGTTGCTATTAGTATGCATATTACTAGCATATAAAAAACAACACTTTGGTTTGGGGTAAAGTTGACATTATTTACATGATTCAAGTTTCTTTGAAATATACCAGTTTGAAGTGCTTGTATGAGAGTTTGCAGGGTCACAGAGTTAATGACATTGCTAGAGAAAGCATAGATGCATTAAAGTGTCTACTGGAGGAAGTCCAATGTCAATGTGACATAAAATATGTAAATAAAAAGATGATTCTTTAATGCTGAAGTTCCTATTGTGGATCAACCTTTTTACTTTGCTAAATCACAGAGATGTATTGGGTCTTTGTCTGATTCAGGGATCCGCTTTGGGACACATGGACATGTGGATGAATAGAAAGAATAGTGGGTGGGAAAAACCTGCTTCCCTGGTTTACTAATCAAGCTACAGTTTCCATGTGAAACACAATCCTATACATATTTGATTCAGCATATTGTATGAGCTGATGTTTGTGGTGAATGTGAAAAGGGATAGAGGATTGTTCTGCTCCCTTTACCAAAGCAGACCAGAGGTTCCCGTGGGAATTTATGCTGGGTCCATAGGAGAAAATCTGACATTTCAGGGATGTGAAAACAAGAGTCTGTGCCCATCTACACACACACGTATCTACCTCTAGAGAGAAACTTGACTCTCACTGACTTCTCCTTGACTGTGGGTTCAGTTATTCATCACTTAATGAATGCTTTTTGTCCAAAAAATTGTCTTGCTTAAGGTCGCAATGATAGAGAACTGAGAAATTCTCAATTTCATACATCTCTCCCCTTCCAGGGTTTAAAATAAGAACCAACCTAGAAATTTTAACTGTGCCACCACCCAATTAAGAAGAAATAGAAGTTCATCATTCTGTAGAGAGAACAGACAGAATGTATTACTCACAAAACAATAATATATTTGTCATATGCCTAATGACATTCTGAAGTCCCCTATTGAATTTACTGTCTACTTTAGAACTGTAGGCACGTATTATCTCTAGAATCCTTATAGGGGTTGAATGTTTCTGCATGAAAAAAAAATGTGATGATGTGTTTGGCTAGAGCCCAAGTGACAACATTAGGTCATTGATACTTTGTGAGTCAAATTAGAGTAAAAGATGATCTGTTCTTTAAAAAGACATTTCTATTTGGTTTTTACTCTTACATAACCACAGTTTGTGACCCATCTCCTTCTGACTAGTGATAGTAAGTGACAAACTCTAGAATATAAATGTATTTGACACCAACAGGTTGAGAAGCTAAAGCTTTTAGCATAAAAGCAAAAAAGTAAAATTTCAGGATGTAGTAGAAATGACAAGTAGACTGCAGTGCACTTGATCAGTCAGTCACAGTCCTTCTGAAAATGAACTGTTTTCCTTTGAATAGTGGTTCAGCTGTAGTTCACTGTCACATATCCACATCTTATGAATGCTGTAACTGTACATGTGTGGACTCACCAATTGATATCTGTATATCTGTGAAGGTAATAAAGAGAAGGTGGAAAAGTATATTATATTATATTATATTATATTATATTATATTATATTATATTATATTATATTATATTATATTATATTATATTATATTATATTATATTATATTATATTATTAGACATTGCCTTACTGTCTAGGTCAATGTATTTTTCTAAATAAAACAAGGTTATGTCTTCATGGTCTCTGGAAAAAGTTTGTTTCTCTATATTCTTGTGAAATGCTTCCTGCTGTGATGCATTTAAACCAGGCGTGGCGAACTCCGGTCCTGGAGAGCCGCACAGTTCCACCCCTAATTAAAACTCACCTGCCTGTAGCTTCCTAGTAACCCTTCAGACCTTGATTAGCTTGTTCAGGAGTGTTTGATTAGGGTTGAAGCAAAACTCTGCCGGGCTGCGGCTCTCCGGGACCGACGTTCGCCACCCCTGCTTTAAACCTTTAGTCTCAGCACTGTTCAAATTCGCTATTCACTGTCTTTGCTGTTGGGCAGCCTGTAAACGGAGGCCCTGTATAAAACTGCTGTGAGTCATGACCTGTTTCAAACTGGTGGTCTCTTTTCTTTTTCCTGTGTGAGTTTAATAGTCACAGCCCATATTCATGACAATGTTGTGTTTGAAAGAATACATTTTTATGAAGTGTTGTTTTTATGACGTTTGAAGTTTTTGAACGTTTGACTGTGTTGTCTAAGTGCCTGACAGTTTTGTTGTGTTGTGGTGTCATTTTCCAGACATGAACACTTTGAACATGACAAAATAAATTAATAGCTGCCGAGAAAGACACAGGGGATGTTTAGGGATGAAAATGTGTCACATTATGACTGGTGTGAGAACGGAATGAACAGATTAGAGACTAACTGAATCCAAATGAGTTCAAGAAGAGTTAATCAACTAAACTGCTAATTATGGGAAAACTCTTCAACTATACAACAATAATCTTCTTTGATGCTCAAAAGTGTGGAACATACTGAATGAGTTAGTTTGACTTTGTGTTTAATCCATAATCATGCTGTGGTTCTTTATGAAAGATAAAATGATTAACAACTTTGGGACAATAATATTGCATCGTTTTTTTTTTTTTACTTTATGCAGCCAGCCGCGCTTTCATAATATATGTTTTTTTTTTTTTTAAAGAAATATCAGAAACCTTGGGTTTATAAAGACAGCTTTGAAAAACAGAGATAATGTTGAATTATAACATGGCAGCTTTTGAACAACCATGGACTGTGTACAGAAGACTGTGTCTTTTAGATTCAGCCGCTAATGCAACCTTAAGAGGTTTTGCTCAGGCCTTGCAGGTGTCTAAATACATCGTTGAAAGTATTATAGACTTGACATTGGTTGAGTTCAAATCAGCATAAATCAGACTCTCATGTGTCCTTGTGGGGGGGGGGGGATCGAGGTAAAAAGGGTTTTACTGAGTTCTACTGAATATGCTAAACCTTTACAGCTTGGTTTTGGTACCTCTAAAAGCTAGTAAATGTTTAAACACTTTAATTCCATTAAAATATACACTGAAAGAGTCAGTTTTATAATGTTTCACTGTAGGGTTTTGATTGTGTGGTTGTATCGTTTCTGCAAGTTACACTGAATTTATTGAACTGTTGTATGAATTACCTGGCCAAACTACAACTTGTCCTGATATGCTTGTATGATATTGCTTAATTATTATTTGCATAATTTCCATGCGTTAAGAAGAATCAACACAAGTTTATCTTGAGAATTGTTCTCTTGTTTTTATATTGAACATTTAATTCTAGAAAGCTTCTTAGAGTTTATAGGTCTGCGAGAGATACTGAAAGAAGAGATGAGACAGTAAATTTATTTCCATAGTCATTTATGTATTTCCAGTTATATCCGTTTACATTTACAAAATGTTCTACATATTTTTAACATTTTAGCTGCATGTACAGAATGTGGTTAAAGCTTTTTGACTGCAATTTAATGTCCTGTAGTTATAACATATTGAGATGTATTTTCAGTTAAACCAAAAACTTCCACCACTGTTGTTTGAAACTGTGTTGTAGCCATTACCTTTAAGTTTTTATGATGCCCTTAGGATGTAAATAAAAAGGGGCCACGATTGTTGAACAGATGGTGAACCAGTTATACTCTACAGGGTTGATTTTGATAATCAAAGATAAAAGGTATGGCTAGATTGAATCCATATTAATTCCAGCTCACACATGGGTTAATCCTAACCATGCATCATATTCCATCAGATAGCATAGAGAAGCTATATATGCAAATGTGTGAAAGAAAAACGTTTTATAGAAGACATATTTGATGTTTCATTATTTGTTAAATTACACTGAGATCTATTTAATAAGCATTGTGAATCAAATTATTTATTCCCAAGCACATTTAAGTATTCAGTGTTCCAACAGAACTCAAAAATAACAAAAATCGATGCAAGTAAAGATAAATATAACAACATACTTAACTTACTTTTCAGATAATTGAAATATACACATCTATAAGAGACAAAATATGCTTTAAAGTAAATGCCCTTCCAAGTACACCCATGAGGCCCTGTTACAAGCTGACAGCCAGTCATCTGAATTCCCACCATCCACTGCAAAGGGTTGTCTTGTGGATATACAGGATGACACAAAGTCACATGACTGTGTAGTGACTTTACAGACTGCAGGAAGTATGTGTCAGGTATGGAGGCGAATAAAGCAAGCATCCATGTTGCTGCACACACTAAACGTCGTATTTGTCGTCCTCTTCTGAGAGAAATCTCCCCTGAGCGGACCACCGAAAGATACCGGTCCACACTCATGCAGGCCAGGAAGAAGATGCTGGCGAAAAGGTTGACGCTGAAGAGTAGATGTGTGAGCTTGCAAGCCGCCTGGCCAAACGGCCAGTGACCGCCCTGTGCCCACGAGCTCACCCACACCGGGAGAGTAGCGACCACACACAGGTCAGCCACCACTAGGTTTAATATATACAAGTGTGTGTCGTGGTAATGACGCTCCGAACGCAAGTTGACCCACACTACTAGCACGTTGGCAGCCAGGCCCACAACAAAAATGAAGGCGTAGAGGGTGCACATAGCATGGAGGAGAGCAGAACGGTTGAAGGATGTGGGGCACATTTGCATTTCCACCTGCGAGTTGTTGTCACTTTTGTCTGTGAAGTTTAATTCTTCCCACATAGTGAAGAATTCAGTCAGTTCACTGGCACTTAGACTCATCTTCTCATTTGGTAGTGAAGACTGCAACTGCTGAAGGAGAAGAAACAGAAGTTAAACACCCATCAAGATGATGTTCAGCTTTCTCTCTTATGATTAGCATAAGGTCTATGTCCTCGGGTTATTAAAAATCAATTAATTAAATAGATTTTGTGGTAAAATATTCCCTGGACATATATATGGAAAATATAATAAAATATAATGTAATGTAATAAAATATATTTTAATATCATGGATTGATTTTGGGTATCATTTGTTAATGATAATTGATTAAATTATAATGTATTATGCATGTTATATCATTGTGTTTATTTTTTATTTTTTGCTGTTTATTACTATTAAGTGTTTGTTTCAGGGGCGCGGGAAGATGTTTTCGGTTGGGGGTGCTGTGTGTGTGTGTGTGTGTGTGTCCGGGGGGGGGCTGAAATTCGCTTTTGCGCCATTATCTCCTTGTATTAAAGTTAATCTTGTTCGCATTCTGTACAGTTCATGCGCTAGCGTCACGTGTTCATGAGGATTTATCCCATATAGAAAACATCACAAGTAAAATTAATCATGTTTATAAAGATAAACATGGGTTTATTATAGCCCACTTACAATTTACATTTCAGAGATCATTACAAATAAATTATTAAATGCTAAAACTGAATAAATTTAAATGAACAAACTTGGCATTTGCAACCATGTGAAAACAGGGGGTGCTGCAGCCCCCTCAGCACCCCTACTTCCCGCGTCCCTGGTTTGTTTATGTATGTATATAATGCATACCGAAAATATTTTATATTAACTATATATTTGTTAATAGCACACTACCGCTCAAATGTTTGTGGTAAGTTATTTTATAAAGAAATTAATACTTTTTATTTAGCAAGAATGCATTAAATTGATCAAAAGTGACAGTTAAGACATTTATAATATTACAAAAGATTTCAAATGAACGCTGTTCTTTTGAACTTTCTATTTATCAAAGAATTCTTTAAAAAAAAATACCATGGTTTCCACAAAAATATTAAGCAGCAAAACTGTTTTCAGCATTGATAATAATACAAAATTTGTCTTGTGCAACAAATGGGCTAAATATATTCAAACTGAATTTTGAACTGTAATAACACTGTAATAAAAAGTTATTTTTCAATTGTAATAATATTTTAAAAATATTACAGTTTTAACTGTATTTTAAAAAAAATAATGCACACTTGATGAACATGAAGACCCAAACTTTTGAACAGTAATGCTGTTGCTTTCCAAAATTTGTCTTTTGATTGTGAAGTCAAATATGATCTGCCTCTGTGTTAGAGAGGTTTCATTCACTGGAATTACCTTAGAAGTGATTGTAAGTCCCATAATAGGATTTAAGAGCAATTATCAGAAAACAAGCAAGCAATTATGTAAAGTAATGCTATGAACTATCAGATGCGGGGGGGGTTTTCTCACAGGGACATAAGCGAAGTTTGAACCTTTTTCTATTATTTATTTGACATAAGACCTCCCAATCATAGAAGACAAACCTGTCTATGGCACTCGAGCATTGCATTTTTGTGAAATTGCCACTGCATCCTATTATAATTTCATGGTTCAGCTTGGTTAGAAAGTTGACACTACTTCAAAAGCCCAAAGCTGTTTGGCTTCTAGCCAGTCATGTTAAAGTAACCTTTAAGCTGGTTCTGCTTTTCAAAAATCAAAGTGACTCAGTTCTATGACTTCACAGTGATTTCTATGAGCAAAGTAATTTCAGTTTAGGGATTTTGTCACGCCATCTTAAACATCTAAGTGGTCCGTTCTAAAAGACATGTTGCTATGTGGTTGGTGAGGTCACAGGCCCTTGACCCTTCATTTTTTTCTGGTCACTAAATCCTTTTTTTAGTGGAACCTTTCAATCTCCAGCAGAGATGCCACAAATGATGAAAATGTCCGTATAATGCTGTTCTGAATTAGAGTAAATCTATAAACATATAAAATAAGTCTGTCTCATGTTATGTTGCAGGACTTATAACGAAGAGTGTGTGACTGTTTATGTACTAAAACGTTATAACTAGGGTCTTGAATTACACATAATTTTCCTGTGAAAAAGGAAATTTCCTGTTACTCCACCTGTATTCTGTTTGAAGTTCATTACAAAGTGAAATCTAATTGTTTTCCATTTATTAAGTACACAATAGTGTTGTTTGATAAAAGCTTTTGGGTTTGTTTGTTTGTTTAAGAATGGTTTATATTATTTAACCCTAAGAGGAAATAGTTTAGGAAGTTCATAGCACAAAATGTAATCAATGAATCCTTTAAGGACTGAAACATGTGGAGACAGACATGCAAACACTCTTTGCCTTGTGTCATTGTCCCTATCTATAAGAGATGCTCCACAGCACTGCAACTGGCCATTTAAACTGGATGGGCTTCCAGCAGTATACAATGGTAAGCAGCAAGGACACTGGAGTGTCAGAGGTCAAATGATTTATGACAACAGACACCTTGAGGGTCTTGAACCTGTGACACTGTTCTTGACAGGATGACAGGATGTTGGAAATGAAGTCATTATTTGCTCAAAATTGTGAATTGTCTTTGGAATGGTGATGGGCATAAAGATACAATTTATTACTGGTTAAAAAGTTTTTTTTAGTACTCTGTAGTTTCTAATCATTAGCTGTGCAAGCTCTCTAGGTCATAAATGCAGCAAATGTTTCTTTCTTTTCAATTAAAATTAAATTAATTCCATGTTCCTGCACCCCAAACTAATCTTGTGTTTCGAGTGAATTTATTTATTTTGAGGTTACGGATTTCGACAAATGTAAACAGCGTAATAGAATGATACATTTAGTAAAGCTCTAAGCATGAGCTAATATGACAGACTGGGATTACTGGCAGCAAATACAAAGCAGAACGTATTTATAAAGCCAAACCATGGACATAATGAACTATGATGAAAATGCATAACATATGTGAGCTTTTTCCTCAAATGTACAATCTACAGTAACTGTATAACTTTCCACAGCATCGATGTGACGATACACGATACAATATAAAGAGTATTGGGTTTTGTGTAAGCTAACTTTTCCTTTACCCAACTGGCCTGCACCCTAAAATAAAACTCACAAAATTTTCACACCAGAATAAAAAAAAATTGTTATAATGTACTCACTCTCAAGGGAGAAGTCATACAAGAGGGTGAGTATAAATGTTGTTGTTGTTTGTTTCTTTTTTTTAATACTTTTTAATAAACGTTTGCTATAATTTACTTTATAGAGTAACGTTAGATGACAAATCTATATTCAATCGAAAAGGCTATAATGTAGGTTAGCTTTATCATGATAAGACATAGACTTACTTTAACTCTGATTTTCTCAAGTAAACCCCAAATTGGTTTGTGCGCCCCTATACGCAGTTATCCTGAAGTAGTCAACAATACTAAAGTTTTTAAAAATATATGCTACATAAATCATAAAGCGTTTAACATTTTCAGCATTTCTGTGTTGTCAATATTAATCCTAACGGAAAGCGCACGGCGTAGTGTTGCCATGGTTACGTGATTTACGTCCTCAGCGACTTCTGTTATCATTATTACCAAACGTTTATTTTGCGCCACGAAAAAAATACGCGCTGTATCTAAGTAACTTATACTCTGTACAAGTTCATCTTTGTTAAAACATAAACTATATGAAATGCTTACAACTTTATTACAAAACCCCTCACACTAACAAAAGAGCTATCATAAAGAAGATCTGCTTTTAGAAAAAAAAATAATAATAATAATAATAATAAATAAAAACTATCTTGCTGGGCTGTTAACAAATCGTCTAGTGTAGTGCAGATGTCTCAAACAGGTAGTAGTGTAACTAATCTAGCCAACTAAATCTCCTCAAGTTTTTTGCTCGTTCTTAAGGACAAAAAGATATTTCTTACCTCTGTCATTTTGGCTTTAATGCTTGATCAGTGGGCAGTATTAATCCACGGTTTCGTTCTTATCCGCTGAGGAGATGAAGTGATTCGTTGGCGCTTGTGCTGCAGGTTGTTTAAATAGAGAGAATGAAAGTGGTGACGCCCATCTGCGCCTCACAATAGCGACTCCGACTGCACCTCAGTCTCAACCTCAACACACTCATATATTACTAGTGACAGAACACAGACAGAATATATATATATATATATATATATATATACATATATATATATA